GCATGAATAACATTAATAATAATCTCAACTATAAGTCATTCTACACGCGCGCGCGTATGTTTATTGGAGATCTTTCTTTTTTACAGATATCGTTTATTACTTAAAATATATATATTATTTACACGTATATTTTTACAATAATATGATATTGCAGAAAATTTATTACTTCGATCTTGTGATTTTATATATATAGGAAAATATAATTAACACAAGGATATTAAAAAGTAAAAAAATGATTTGACGTGTTTTATCAGAATATATAATGAGAAAATATGTAATTTCATAATGTGTTTTCGCTTCTTTGTAACCTCATCTTAATGTAAGAAAAAACATGTTGTTTCATTTAAGAAAAGAGCATAAAGTTTGAAGTGGCTTCATAGAATAAATTTGAAAGGTCTTTCATAAGATGTCTTCCTTAAAACCAAACAATTAAAAGCGAACAACAAGTTGTTACTTGAGTAAATTTATTTATATTTGAGATATGTCTCTATTTAAAAAAAAAATTAATTATGGTTAAACATTTGCGACTGAATTGACATTAATTAATATTTCGAGTTAAACATCAATTCCCGGGAAAAAAATGTTACATATATATGGATATATTTTATATATAATTATATATAATTGTATAAAAAATATATCAATTTTTTATATAATTATATATGAAACATTTTTTTCCGGATTCAAGTATATCAATCTATTTGTAAGTGCATGTGAAGATTATATATAGAATATTTTCAAATATCATAATATTAATTAACATTTTGAGTCAAACATTAATTCGAGTACGTCAACCTATATACAGGATGTCCAAACAGGATCTCGGATTTACTCGGGAGACCTATATATACTATACTAAAGTTATATTTTTCATTAAATACTTTTGGAATCGAGACTTGAAGGTTACAGTATTGTTGATATTATATACGAGGGTCGTCTGAAAAGTTTCGAGCCTTCTTATGAAAATGGCGTTCTCGTAAAAGCCACTCTGGTATTATAATCGTGATACTTATGAAAGATATCTGTGACAATTGTGGCCACTTTGGACGTTCAGTTCTCGTTTGACAATCATTTGTGTCGTCATTTTGTAAAAATGGAAAAAATTGAATATCGTGCTATAATTAAATTCTTGCAATTGAAAGACAATACGTCTACGCAAATTAAAGCCGAATTGGACGCTGTTTACGGGGACTCTGCCCCATCATTTGCCACCGTGAAAAGATGGGTAGCTGAATTTAAACGTGGTCGTACCAGCTTAGCTGATGATGAGCGTTCGGGACGGCCAACAACTGCGACTATCATCGATAACATCGAAGAAATTCATCAAATGATAACGGATAACCGTCGAATTAAGATTAGGGAGATAGTAGAGGCTGTTGGCATATCAAAAGAACGTGTTTGTCATATATT